TCAGCCTTTAATATGGTCTTATTATAACTATGTTCTAATGATCCAACCCAGTAGCTCAGAATCAGTGGGATTTTTTTTTTTTAATACAACTTAGAATTCACACTATTAGCATGATTTCTGTCAGAAATTTAACAGTTAAACTCTGAAGTGTTAGTCAAGATGCAAGCCCAAAGACAACAAAGAGATATATTTCTTAGAACCCAAATATCTTGCTTCCAATTGAGTTTAAACCCAAACCAAACCCACTGCTATCAAATTGGTTACAATTCATAGTGACACTGGATAGGGTTTCCAAGGCTGTAAATCTTTGCAAAAGCAGACAGGTTCAGCTTTCTCCATGGAGCCACTAGTGGGTTTGAACCACTGACCTTGTGGTTAGCAGTCTAATGCCGACCCTAGAGTGCCAATTATTTCACTCAGATAGCAACTCAGTGCTGAAGGACAATTCACTGGACAATGTGAATACTGTGAAGGTGCCAGAAATTACTTGCCCAGGTCTTCATTAATGCTTCCCAGGAACAATCACTTACAAGGAAGGCACAGGAAACACTTTTGACATTTCGATAATAACAGCTTTTTAAAGTGATTCAAGTTCATCTCCACTAGCAGTTCCTTGGAAGCCCTATACAAGGTCATCTGCATGGTAATTGCTAGTGTAGAAACCAGAGTGCAAACACACAGAACTGAGAGCTTTGAGTGTTAATGAGAACATGTCTTCTGCTGTTTCTTCTATTGTTACAGTAGAATCATTGTAAAAATTCTACTAAATATTAGATGACAACCTTCGGTTTTATGAAAAGTTAGAAAAATCTTTAAAAAAATATATTACTTATTGGAGCTTATGCAAAGTCGGTTTGAATAGCAAGGTTGGTGGTTTAAGCTCACCAGCCAATCCTCGGAAACCCTATACAGGGTCGCTATGGGTCAGAACCAACTTGATGGCACCTAACAACAACAACAACAGCACTCTTTATAATTATGATGTGTCCTTCTATGCTTCCTGATGATTTTCTCAAGCATAGATACCTCTAAGAGCATGGAGGTTAACTCTTTTCATTTCACTTTCAAGGGCAGAGTCTAACACAACTCAGCGAGGCAAAAAGCAAATTGATGCAAGAAGAAGGGGGATCTAGAAATCAGCATGAACTACGAGTCACTTATTGACTGAAGTTTTGTGGCTAAAACCTTAAGTAATGTTAAGTCTGTGTACCTGAGTAATTGTGAAGATGTGCAGGACATGCTGAGGGTGCAGAGCTGAGCAGCCGAATCCTGGGACATGCCATTAAGAAAGACCATCCATAAAAACTCCATATTTTACTCACACCACTCATAAAAATTCCATATTTTACTTTCTTGTAAGTTGTTTTACAGGCTAGGCTGGTTTACCCAGTGCCCTAGGCATAATTTTAGAGGACTGCCTTCAGCTGGGGCAAAGAACACAGCCCCTGAGAGATTAAAGTCTGTCTGAAAAACCACACATTGTTGACATCCCAGAATAGGTTTTATCTGTCCTGATGTGGTGCTGTGGGTTAATGTGCTGAACTGCAAAGTTGGTTTGAACCATAAGGTCGGCGGTTCAAGCTCACCAGTCACTCTTTGGAAAACCTATACAAGCTCACTATGAGTTGGAACAGACTTCACGGCACTTAATAACAACAACAGCCCCAACCAGAGATCTTTCTGATGAAATTCATCTAGAAGAAATGCTGCACATACACCCAATTAGCACGGTGTCTCCTGCTTCATCTGATGAACAACACTTAAAACAATCTCTGTTCTGAAAGATGACGGTTAGTATTGCCTAAGGGGACTCCTGGTCTCCTCTGGCCAGATCCTTTCCCTAAATCTTTTGCTCTGTGAAACTATCTGTCTAACCTGATCATTCTTAATTAGCAAAGACAAGGACCCTTTATTCAAGGATTTGGACCCCCCTATGCCCTGATATAGCATAGCGGTTACGAATCAGGCTGCTAATCTCATGGTCAGCAGTTCGAAAGTACCAGCTGTTCCACAGGAGAAAGGTGAGGATTTCTGTTCCTGTAAAGATTTACAGCCTCAGAAATCCTGTAGAGTCGCTATGAGTCGAAACCGACTCCATGGCACATAACAACAACAACAATGCCCTGATAACAAAATAAAATGTGAAAGAAGCTTGAGGGTTCTGCAAAGTAACCAAAACATCTACTGTATTTTGTGGCCATAGACTTAATTTTAAGTAAGTTGGGGAAATGAACAGTAGCAAAAACTAGTGAGTAGCAAAAATAAGTTTCAAGTTATTGTGAATGTTTTTTATTATATTTCAAAGATTAGTCAGCAAAAATTACCTTAAAATTGTATTTGGCTAATGGAACCAAAAAGAGGCTGAGTTAGTGACACTCAGAAGAAACAAGCAATTAGGGGGCAAAGCAATGTTGTTGTTTTTTAAATTGTATATGTGGTCTCTTCAGCAGACAGACAGAAAAGAGTCTAAAGACTTACAAGTTTCACAAGGTACATAAATTTGGATTAATAGAAGGCAAGTCTTGTTCTAGCGTTCTGGTGTCCATCATTCTTAAAATTAAACAATAATTACAGTGAAACACTCAGACTCCTTCATGGGTAGCTCCTGTGTGTCACAGAACATCTATGTTTTCACAGGGTTTTCAATGCCTGACTTACTAGAAGTAAATTTTCAGGCCTTTCTTACAATGAACATCTGGATGAAGTCAAACCTCCAACCATTACTGTTAGTAGCTAAGTACATTAACAGCAACTACAAAGATAAATAAATAAATAACAACAACAAAACCACTTGTTGTCTGTTTATACTGTCTTATGGTAACCCCAAATATTGCAGAGGAGAACTATACTATATACGATTTTCCTGACTATGACATTTTAGAAGCGGGTTGTTAGGCCTTTCTTTGGGGTACCTCTGGTAGGTTTGAACAACTAACCATTTGCACCACTCAGGGACTTCTAAACACATTAATTGTTGTTGTTGTTAAGTGCCGTCGAGTCGATTCTGACCCATAGCAACCCTATATAGGGTTTCCAAGGAGCAGCTGGTGAGCTTGAACCACCAACCTTGCAGTTCAAATGACTTTGCAGTCTGATGCATAAGCCCACAGCGCCACACCAGGACTCCAAGCACATTAATAGCTACTATTTATTGAGCACAAGGAGCTCTTAGTGGTTACGAATTGGGCTGCTAACCTCAGGGTCATCAGTTCGAAACTACCAGTTGTTCCGCGGGAGAAAGATGAGGCTTTCTGCTCCCGTAAAGATTTACAGTCTCAGAAACCCTGCACAGGGTCGCTATGAGTCGGAACCAACTCCAGACACATAACAGCAACAACAACAACATTTATTGAGCACAAACATTATGCTAGCCAAAATACCTTACGTGCTTCATGTATCTAATTTCATTCTTGCAAAAACATTGTGAGGTAAATATCATTGTCCCATTTGCACAGATAAACTGAGGTTTTAAGTAATTTACTCCTAGTCTTATAGGTAGCAACTTAAAGAGCCAGAGTTGGAAACCAAGCGTATAAATAAGACTTTAAAATTTCCATTCTTTCTAATGTATTCATTGCTTTGGGAAAAATTAATTTCAAAGATTAAACAGTCTTGCCCTCAATCCTTTTAAATTTTTCTTTTCTTTTTTTTTTTTTAAAGAATAAGACATGACTTATGTGGGATAATGTGCCAGACTGCAAAGCTGTTTGAACTGCAAGGTTGGCGGTTCAAGCTCACCAGCTGCTCCTTGGAAACCCTTTACAGGGTCGCTATGGGTCGGAATTGACTCGACGGCACTTAACCAACAACACGCACTTTAATGCAGAGCTATAAGGATTTTTAAAGAATATCAACTCACAGCAATATTTTTTTAAATTTCATTTTCATTAATTTAGCTTAATTAATTCATCAGCACAACTAAGTCCAAGCACATTTTTGAGGAAATTGAAATCATATCCATTGGTCTTTTCAACATTATCATAGTTTTAAAGGCTAAAATTATAGCTCAAGGTGGTTTTAACGAGAGTTCAAAAACACATTGTGCTATAAGCAGGAGAGATGGGTTCTGGAGGATCTTAGAGCAAGTACTGCAGCAGATATGAATAATGCTGCAAAATGTTAACATCAAAGTGAAATATTAATAGAATGACCTTCAGAAGGCAAAAAAAAAAAAAAAAAGACGGTGGATGGGAAGGGATAGAAATTCAGGGCCTGAAATGGAGTTTGTATTATTACATCAACTGTGTCATCATAAAATAAACTGGTTATTTCCTCCAAAGTCATTCAACCTAAGCATGCTAAACAGCTCTTACCATATTTGGGTATTAGATTCATGCTAAAGCAATGATCATCTAAGTGATTTTCAACAAGTCCTGTTATACCATCCAGCTAACTGTAGCGTTCCTTAGTTTATACAGACAGGATCAGTAGTTGCATGCCCCTACTTAAGATAACTATAAACACAGTTCAGTACAATTACCTAGCTAGATCTCACAGTGTGACATCTCACACCATCTATCTATTGAGAAAAGCTCAATATATTTTGGTAAGTTTCTAACTCATTTGTCTTCTAGTGCTTCCCACTTCTTAAATTGGGTGGGGTGAGGAGGGAAAGAGGAAGCTAGCAGGAAAAAAAAAAAAAAA